TAAATTAGGCTCCTAGCACTTTTGTCTTAAATTTGCTATAACAAATATCTTCTTAAACGTTTATAAATGTTAAGAAATATGAGCAATAAGGCTGAGAATGAGATTTGACCAAAATGACTAATCAGAAGAAGCTTACAAGATAAAGAGAAAAATGTATGCAAACCACTTCTGTTCTCAGAAAGGAAGACAATCTCCTCATCAGAATTCAGACATGTAGCAACAAACTTGGCTGTAAACATTTGCCCAGTCAAAAGCACAGAGAGAATGCTCCTGTGAGAACAGTAACCAGATATTAGGGCTCTGATCTTTGAAGTTTGAAATATTTCCCCAAAACTGCCATAGTCTTCTCTCTCTCCCACCCTACTGGAAGATCACAAAAGTAAATTCTTGTTCATTCCTTCTTTCTGTTATCCTGCCAAAAATATGCACTCAGTGATAAAGCCCACCAGTGATTCACTACATACCTTCACCCTAAGGGTTTCAGTATAAATGCCATTGTAAATGAGCCTTTTCTGTTTCATTAATGCTGAGCAGACATTTAACAGCAATGATGATGCCAAATGATTCTTACTGTATCATACTATTAAAATCCAGATGTTTCTACATAGACAGGAGTAAACGCACCAACCCTCAGGTTCTTTTCTTCCATTCTCATTTCCCTAGCAGTTGGCTGAGCTGGGATTCATTTGAAAGCAGAAATAGCAGAGTATAATCATTCTTTTCACATTTCCCCTTTTCTCTATAGTTCAACTCCATTTTCACCCTTCCTCTACTCTTTATTGATTAAGAGAAAAAGAAAGAAATAATGAGAAAAGGAAGAAAAGGAGAGAAGATGGAAAGAGGAGGAGAGGAAGATCTGGTGAAATAAAAATTTAGCTAAGGATCTTTTTTATTTTTAAATATCTTAAGTGGAGTAGACAACCATAAATACATTAGAATGGTACACATTTCAACTGCTGGTATTTCATATTTGTCTGTTCCATGTGATCCTTTTTTTGAAGCCCTAGTCTTCTCTGGAGCCTTCATCCAAAGCATTTTTAATTCATTTACCAACCAATGAATGCAGTTAACTCTCATTGCCTCAAGTTCTAGTTCATGCCAATTAACTTGTGTGCAATGAAGACTGCTCAGTTTGGGTTTGCTCTTTTGGTCTTAAGTGCAAAGAAACTTCTCAAGCTCCTAACTTTTTGAGACTTTGTGGGAGGAGCTGGGGCCTTGGCTTGCCTTGTGGAGGTACTTTTGGGAGCGTCTGGCTGCTATAATGATGGCCTCCTCCAAACCTATCCATTTTCAGTCTTGGTTGGAATCCTCACATCTGCCCCTGGGTTATGCATACGAATTATGTAGGTAAAATGATCCTGGACAAACATTGTTCCCACTACTTGAGAAGATATCAACCCCCAAATAAGCCAAGTCCCATAAGTAAGGATGATGACAAAGTTGACTAGAGCCATATGCAAGACGATAAGAGAGGTAACAAAAACTAGAATTCCACTCTACCCAGTCATTGTTCTAGGAATGAATGCCTGTTATATATTTTTTTGGTGTGAGGTCCCACAAGGAAATTTTGGTTATCTCAGAGCAGACTTCTGTCATCGTTTTTGCAACTCAATAACGTGAAATGATCAGGAGAAGTGAAGAGAGAACAGGAACAATAATAGCATCAACCCTCTCCATCTGTGTTATACCTACAATTTCCTATGTCCATACAGCAATAGGGAAGACCACTGACATTCTCTAGCCAGAGTTCCAGACCCTATATTTCCAAAGCAAAAGTCAGGGAGCTAAGGCATACAAAAACACAGAAATAGTCAAATGGTATCAGGTTCGAAGAACTTTTGATTTCACCACTTTACATATTACTCCTATTTGTTCTCATCTTCCTCTTCCTTTCCCAGGCACTGATCTCATTCACCTCTCTATTTTTTACTTGAAGCAACTCTTTAAAATATGACAGTAAATAAAATGAGGAGAAAATGTAAGTGCTCCTTTCTCTTGCTTTAGGCGTATGCAGTCTGGAACTTTTCATGCTGTATTTAAAAGGGGCAGGGGTGGTATAGCCCACGTTTTGCCTTTTCTAGAAAGGGTTCCATAGATGTGCAGGTTCACTGGTTTACCAGACCTCTGGTGAAGCTCTGAATAGTCAATAGAATGCCAGCCTGAATGATATTCAGAAAACCTTGCTGTCACCACTCCCATGATTTCCTTTCACAAGGTTATCTCTCAATAGCCTTGTGAAAGTAGCAATCCAACAAATAAAATAGGTTGTCTCAGAGACTATTGCTAGAAGTCTTAGTTCATGACTGACTGACAGCCTGCCAAATTCGCATTTCACATTTGCTATATTGCATCCTGAATCTCTGATTTTATCTTCTATTTCCTTATCCAACGAAACCAGTCCTCCTTCTTGTATTCTTCAGTGTGTGCAAGTAAGGTTTCTACCAAAACCTGAGGCTCTTCCTCAGCTCCTCCTTACTCCCCACATCTGATCAGTCACTAAGTTCACAAATACTCCTCCAGTCAGAACTTTCTTTCCAAGCCTACTGCCAAGGTAGTTCAAACTCACCATCACTCTTTAACTCCAGACTACCCCTCCTTGCCTTTCTCATCTTGCTCATCATTCAAATTCTCCCTACTACTATTTAACTGAGGTTTCAGCAATAAAAACCTGATGCCACTCCTTCTTAGAATCCTTTAGTTATTTCTCAAGGTTACAAAATAAAATCTGGGCTCTCAGCCTGTCTTAGATCTTGCCCCTACTAACTTTTCTAGACTCCAGTTCCTCCCATTAAGTCAATATAGTCAACTTCATTCAGGCTCTATCAATACCATGTGCCTGTGATCCAACCTATTTTGCCTCTGGACTGAGGTCATCTTTTCACTTTGTTTTCTTATTCAAAATAGTTGGTGTTTCAAACTTGCCGTGATGAGTTTTTTGAACTCTCTCCATTGTGGTATTGTGGCACCAGTCAGTACCTCCAACATGTCACTGATAACAATGGATTTGTTTACATGTTCACCTCCTCCACCAGAATATAAGTTCTCTGGTTAAACTTTGTATGCCCAATGCCTGCATCAGGCTTAGAGCACAGAAGGGTTTCTTAGACATTAGTATATGGTTACTGGATAAATTTGGTAGAAGGGTTTATTGCATGAGAAGCATGCAAAGGAGTTGAAAAAAGTGACTTTCAAAGTCCTTTCCAACTTTCATATTTTAATTGGATGTGTTTTTGAATATCACATCTATTTATGACTCCCAGACCCATCATTTCAAAGCACCTAATCCGAGCTTTAGAACAAAATATCAATCTGACTGTTACATAGCTTCACTTATAAGCTGAGTTGGCATCTCAAATTCAATACAGTATGTTCAAAATTAACTTTCCCACACAACCAGTTCCATCTTTCCTGTATCTGTTAATGACACCATTGTCCTTTTAGAGACTGCTATCAGACACATCCCCAATGGCAGCTCTCTTCTTTCTCAAATAAATCACTACATGGTTCTCTGGATTTCTTTTCCCCCACAAGTCTTTTTGTCATTCCGTCCGACTGCAGTTTCCATCAAATGGCTTGTGATTCTAATTAGCACTGTTTCATTCTGACTTGCATGATATATTTTCCGTGTCTGTCTCACCCTCAAGATTTCTCTATTATGGCTGCAAGTCCGGGACTCAGCATCATGTTTGCAGATAGACAGCAGGTGCTCAACAACTCTGTAGAAGGGCTGAATGAAAGTTAGAATGTTAAGTTTAAACTGCCTTGGGGGCACGATCTTGCTTTATACTTTTTTGGTGTCTCTCTCCCCCTCCCCCCATATGGTAAAGGACATAGAAAACAGAAAATACGTATTTTGAACATTGAACACTGCATCGGTTTTTGCAACTCGGAGTTGCTTCAACAAATGGTCACAGTGTTAATACGAAACACGCTCTACCATTTGAAAACAAACGTCCCTCAGCTCCCAGCTCAAACCATCCAGGATCCAGGTTTCCCACCCCTTCCCGTGGCCTGATGTGCGGCGGGGGAGGAGCAACGAGCCAGCTGGGCCCGAGGAGCAAGAAGAGCGGGATGGAGGAAGTCCCGGAAGTCACTGACCAGAGCAAGCGACCGCCTCAGCGGGATGGGTTTGGGCCGCGGTCCCAACAATAACAGGCGCCCGGGCCGGGCGGGGACCGCCGGGGACCGGAGCTTGGGGCGGGACCGGGATTGGGGTAGGCGGGTGGGACGCTTCCAAAGGCCGAAGGCGATTGGAGTAGGGAGAGAAGGGGCGGGGCCGCCCGAGGAGTGGGCGGGACAGCCAGCGGGTCGACCGAGAAGCTAGCGTGCTGATTGGGGCTCGCGGAAGGCGACGGGCCGGAGCTGGCCGCGGGATTGGCTGGGGCGGGCCGAGGGGGCGTGGCCGACGCGCGCGAGAGGGCGCGCGGGGGAGCGGGCGGCCGGCCTGG